CCTGCTTGTGAGTGAGGGAATGATGGAGAGGGTGAAGGGACCTGTGGAGGTCGGGCTGACGGGCTTGGCCTGGAACTTAGGATCCCAAGGCCTGGAGAGCCTCTAGCCGCAGACCATGTCTCCTGCCCAGAGGGGAGGCCTCCTTACCCTCGGTCATGGGTGGATCACGCCTCCTCCATTCAGACCCACGGGCACAGGTGGTGGTCCCTGCACGACTCCTGGAAGGACAGCTGGGGTAGGGTCCCATCTTGAAACTACTCGTCCCTCTGGAATCCACTGCTCACATGAACCAGCGTCAGCTTTAGCTTCCAGAGAAATTGTCTGAGCTTGTGAAGGTGTCAGCAGTGACAGGAACTGGGGGAGGGGGAACAGGGTGGCAGAAGGGACTTGGGGGGAGAGGGGGAAGGGTGTTGTCAGCCGGAGCTGTCTGGGAGGCTGCATTAGTGTTCTGTTGCTGTCATCATACATTTCATGACCTAAAACAGCACACAGGTGCTATCTACAGCTCTGTGGGTCGAGGTCTGATAGGATCTCACTGGCTAAGGTCCAGTCTCCCCAGAGCTGCATTCCTTCGGAGGCTGCAGGAGATTCTGTAGCCTTATCTTTTCCAGCTTCCAGAGGCTTCCTCATTCCCTGGCCCATGGCCGCCGCCTCCATCCTCGAAGCCAGCACAGCACATCTCTGACTCTGTTACCACTCTTCTCTGACCTAACTAGGGAGGAGTCTCCCCTCCCAAGGACCCGTGTGATGGGATGGGGCCTCCCCAGATAGTCCAGGAGGCCCTACCCTGAATCCTACCTGCAGAGCACTCTGTCCATGGAAGGCGACTCAGGTCCAAGGATTGGGATGTGGGCGCCCAGGGGCCACTGCTCCACCGCACCCGTCTCAGCCCTCTCACCTCTCGCCCCACACGCTGACACTGAGTTTTTGCTTCCTCCTCTGGGTGAGCCCAGCTCAGGACACTTTTGTGGCCAGTGAGGATGGGCCTGCAGTTGGCATTCGGGGAAGATGGCTGGGTGAGTGGGTCTTGCCTTTCCACTCTACCCCATGCACGCTGGCCTGGCCCCCCGATGCCCTCCCTCTCTCTAGGGGAAACCTAACCTCTTTCTGCTAAACCCCCAGATGGGATGAGCGTGGAATGTTTGTGGCCTGATGGGTGCAGAGGTACAGGGCGTGGTTCTTGAACACCCTGAAGTGGTGTGAGATGCAAGAGGGCTTAGGGACACCCGTAGGCACCTCCTGAGCACCGGTTCAGGTTGCCCAGCACCCCGATCTTCGCAGCCATGAGAGCTCTCTGAGGTAGTCTAGCCTCCAGTTGGCCTGTGAGCAGACAACCTCAGAAGAAAACGGCTCTGCCAAGCCTCACAGCTAAGCAGAGGGGAATCAAATTGGAAAAAATATCTGACGTCCTCTTGCTAAGGATGGGGTGGGGGAAGGGCAGACACAGACTGGATTCCTCTCCACTGAGTAGAGTTTCCTCTTCAGTGAAACCGGGGTGACATTCCTATGCCCTGTGGCCATTGTCAGAAATTCAAGGAGATAATTTAAATTCTTTGTAAGGTGCTAGGTGTCAGGTGGCTTTTATCACAGTTAGGGTCCCACCCTCAGGTGGGCTGCCGTGCCCAGAGGGCACAGGGAACCCCAGGTTTGGACGGGGCCAGTGGTCTAGGCGGGCTCTCTGCTCCTGCCCTTACGTTGAGGGCCTGTCTCTGAGTCTTGGGCGAGACTGTTGGGTTGGCAAACAATAACAGTAAATTTGGGGTTTTCCTTTGACTGGGTTAGAGGCAGGAAATGCGGAGGGCTGTGGATGACGAGTGGGTAGGTCTGTCTGCTCAAGGTGTGAAGGAAATTCAGTTATTCAAGGGTGGCAGTCCCATCTACTGGCGGATGTAAACAAACCTGCTGGGCACCCCCCCACCCCCCCTCCCCCCCCAGCTCTTTCTCTTGAAGCCCAAGTTTGGGGGCCTCAGCCATCAAAAGGGGAGTCTGGCTGAGTGTGGAAGTAGCCAGTCACTTGGAAGGGACACCGGGCTCCAGCTCTGGGGGGTCCCTGTGGGTGAATTCATCAACCTCTCCTCTCCCTGCATTCAATCCATCAGGCTGGTGTAAAGAGGCCTACCCACTAACTCACTACACACCCAGGCACTTACGTATGGACTATGCATACGTGCGAGGCCTGGTTCCTGCTTGGTTCCTAGTCAGCGAGACACAAAACACGTGTGCAGCAGTGAGAGGCCTGGTCCTTTCTCTGCGTCCATGGCATGGGCACACTTTGTGGTCTGAATCGACCCGTTTGAAACTGCTCCACACAGTGAGGGGTGCGCCATCCAAGCCCAGGGGGCCCAGGGCAGCCTCTTAGGGCTCTAGAGCAGCGGTTCTCAACCTGTGGGTTGAGACCCCTTTGGTGGTCGAACGACCCTTTCACAGGGGTCGCCTAAGACCATCCTGCATATCAGATATTTACATTACGATTCATAACTGTAGCAACATGACAGTTATGAAGTAGCAACGAAAATAATTTTATGGTTGGGTCACAATATGAGGAGCTGTATTTAAAGGGCCAGAAGGTTGAGAACCACTGCTCTAGAAGCTTTGAAATGGGAGAGATGAGTAAGGTCAGGAGTGGGCCCGGTGTCCTCGTTTTACGGATGAAGCCCTCATGTCCATGCCTTGTTGGGGATAATATCTGTCCTCCCCGCACCCAAGCACCTGAGGATAAACAGCCACCAGGGACTTGGAGAGGCGGGAAGCACTAAAGATGCGTGACAATGACAGGGCTGTGCCCTGAGCCCTTTGCGGCCGCCCTTCTAGCAGGGTCAGCGCTTTGGCCTCGGCCCGAGCTGCTCTTTGAGAAGACTTCCCCCACTCTCCAAGAGTAAAGATGCTAGCACCTCGTTCAGCTCATCTTGAGCACCTACTATGTGCAACGCCCAGCTTCCAGGACATTGGGGTGACATGGATGAGTACGAAGTGGGTCTGACCCTTAGGTGGCTCCGTCCGGAGAGAAGGCAGGGAGAACCAACCTCAGAACAGCGGGTGTGTGGTGCCGAAGGAGGAGCTACTCAGGCGGAGAGCCAGGCGCGATGGTTTTGATGGTAGAAAATGAGGGAAGTAGGGCCGTTGTCTTCCTTCTCCGGGTCTCTGTTCACCCCATCTGTCCTCTGGTTGGAACTGCTGTCTGCTTGTCCCTCTGGCCTGACCTTTCACCCATCAGCCCTGTCGGTGGGAAATCTGACTTACCCGCCGGGGGTGTTCTCGGCGTTTTCTGCCCATTTTCTCTTTCCCGCCTCTCCAACCTGGATTCCCCTCATTCAGCAGGCTTGCTTCCCCAAAACCAAACCTTGGGAGAGCAGGGATTCCCCCCTGCTCTTCAGTTCATTAAGTTTTCAAGAAGCCTTACGAAATGACACCTTAGATCACATTTAGTGATACGTTTTACAAATCCTTGTAGAAAAGGACTTCACATGAGATTGGAGGGGGGTCCTTCGGAAAATCGGGATGAATGGTTGTCCAGGGCTTCTTTGCTCCTGTCCCCTCTGAGGATCACCCCGGTTCACGGTCCTTATACCACTCAGCGTCTCAAACACAGGCCCCTGGGAGCTTCCCGGTTACACATACACATTGTAATGTGCCCCAGCTTCCACACTTTCTTATTTTCTGCACACCAGCGTTTCCAACCTGGGGTTACCTTGGAACGCCCATCCATCCACTGGAGAGAATAGTTCTTGCTCCGAAGGGAAGTTCCTGCCCAAAGCCTCTGGCCGAGGAAAGCCGAGGCTGTCAGGCCTGTAGGATTCCAGGTGGGGCTGCAGGGGGCGCGGTGCTGCTGGGAGCCCCTGGAGCTTGTGGCACAGAACTGCCATGCAAATGCCCTTGTTTGCATAATTTTCTTGCTCTAAGGGACAGTGAACTTTCCTACCCCATCCAATACCCCTGCCAGGATTTGCAAGTGAAATACTGGGACTGGCTTTCCCCCTTTGCCATGTCTCTCCCCTCCCTAGTCCTCTCCCTCAGGCTCTGTCCCTCAGGCGCTGTGTGATAGCTGGTGCTCTGATCCTAGGGGAGCAGCGCTCCTGAGGCCCCGTGATGCCAAGTATCGGCAGATGTTATGCA